TTTTTTTTTTTTTTTTTTTACATATACATATATTGCTGTAATACCATTTAACCAATTCATCATCCGTATGTGTATCTCACACGGAACATCCGAGTTATCCTATTCTTTTACATCTTCTGTTTTTTTGGGTCCCTCGAAAAAAAGCTAGTTAAAAAATCGCAGCCATTGTCACCTTTTGAAAAAACGAAGCTCTCAGAAATTGTTTAGAAAATCATGCAAATGGTCTTTTCGATTTTTAGAACGTCGAAGTTTTTTTTTCGTGTACAAAAAGTTAAATACTAAATTTTTTCGTTACGAAGAAAAGAAAAAATTATTTCTTTTGTTGTAATGTAGTATCAAGAACGAATAAATTTTTAATACAATTGCTCGAACGTTTAAGGGAGAAGTTATTTCATTATTCCGAGCCTATCTTATAATTAACAGTCTCTATCAAATCGACTGAATGTTCTACGTGAGTGTTTGAACGAATGTTCTAAACGCGTAATACTTTTGCTACTTTTTCAAATTAATATTCCTTAATGATTCAATGTATTAGCAAATAGTATCGTAGTTTACTTTTTTTTTTTTTTTTTTTAAGTACTGGTTGCATAGTTTGATGAACATTATCTTTCATTCATAGAAATGACCGAAACTTTTCATATGAGACTAAGGAACCAATTATGAAAACATTAATAAGTTATGCAAAACAAACATACATACATTGAAAACGCTATACATAAATATTGTAATTTGGAACATTTTGGTTTCAAGAAGTGAAAATAAAAATTGCAATTATTAATCAAGTGCTTACAATATTAAATTATCATAGAAATTACTTGGTAGAAAGCGCAACCAGAATTAAGTTCTTTCTATCACTGGACGACGTACTCGTGTCTTTTTAATTAATTAAATATTACACATTTAAAAGTTAGAAAAACACAGTCTCTGTTACAAAAACAAGCAAAAGATACGGTGATTATCAACTGATCCTTATTTTCAGTCCATGTAAAATAAAACAAGGAGATAAATATCTAGTTTAAAATATATTACCGAATACACAACATTATGTATCAGTGGTATGATATTTCTGCATGATATAATGCAGTAATTCATGAGTTGAATATCTAATTATTTTTTTCATGAAACAATGCAATAAAACGAAAACATTCGTCTATATTCGTGCAATTGTTCTCCAGGATAAAAATAAAATAATTATACTTAACAACATAGCATTGCACTAAATATCACTCGAGTAATTGTCACGAGTATTTTTCATGTTAAAATATAATCTAACACAGTTACATTGTTCGATCCGCTGATAATCAATCCGCGTACTGATAATCAATTATATTCGCTAAACAAAAGATCCTCAACTTTTAGTAACTACTTAGTAGTTTCGCTTGTATACGCATACCGCTATTTTACCGACTTAATTCATCGTTTACGATTCCTGGTACATATTTCTACATACGTTTAGTCGATAGTCTAATTAAAGCCTACGAATCTAAAGTGCTCGTTCACAAGTGATATGTCGATTAAAATATATTACCTACGGGCGACAATGAATTTGATAGTATAGTAGTACGATTTAATCACGTGGAAATCCGTGTGCTGACAATTTTTCTTTCCTTTTTTTTTTTAACAAAAATTTTGTCGGACACCTTTTATGATAATCATCAATTGACTATGATGTTATATGGTCCCAAAATCAAAGAAGTTAAAAACATTACAAGTCTATCATTTCAAGCAAAACAAGAAAATTAATTTATTCTTGTAATCATTCTTGTCTTGCAATGCCAGCACAGGCTTACATCATTGTCAAGTTTACAAATACAGTTTGCGGAAGTAGGAACGAGCAGCAGTTCTTTTAGACACTAAAATTATCACGTTGTTGCCTCGTGATAAGAAATAGGGTTATTATATGAAAACTTGTGCGAACAATAAAACAATTTCAAACATTTCACGCGCACGTTTCTACTTCTTGTTAAATGGCGCTAATCGTAACGCTTGATTCATAACATTAACATTGTTTTTTCTTTTTTCTTGTATTTTTAAATTAGATGCCAACAATTTGATATGAAAAATTCACTAACCATGATGGGACGTAGATTTTTATGTGATTAAGTTTGCCAACAGCAGTTTTGTCTTTATCTCACTAATAAACTTCCTTAAATACTTAGTAATGTATTTTAAGTTTCAATAAGACTGAGATAGACTCTCGATAATCATATCGTAAAACTTACTTTATGTTCTTATTGCCTAAAAATAGTCATCCGTTTTGAGGAACCAATGTATTTTTCAACTTTGGCATGTCGTCACGGCCTCTTTCTCGCGATGACAAAATTCTAGCCAAGTATTTCCAAAATGCAATTAGTAATCTTTACAATTATGATGATAATTAAGTTTATATTCATTATTTTGTAGAAAATAACGTGATCTACATCGTTTACAAGTGTTAGAAAGTTTGACGTATTTCCTTTTTTTATAATTCATTCGTACTTTGTAAGCTTAAAGTTGATTAAAAGTTGACTAGAGGCGATAATCTCTCGAATTTATAATAAACGAAGCTAAGCTTCTATCTCCCGAATTCGAAGTCTTCAGTTTGAGAGAATTTAAGATTCGAACGGCAGCATTCACATGAGTTACATGGACAATGCCTCTTAGCCGAGTCTAGTGTCTAAAGTGAATGTAAGCTAGTTGATCGTTAAAAAGCAAAAGTACCAAATATGTCTTTGCTCGATTCCTTCCTTTCACTGTAGAAAGAATTTATTATTACTCGATTCGAGGTTCTCTATCTATCTCCTTAGGATACATATATAACGTATACATATATATTTAATTTCTCAAATTGCAAAAGCGTATATAGCAATCGTAAATATAAAAATTTCCATGATACTGTCCTTGGCAAACTTTCTCAATTGAATTACTTAGAATGTAGTAATTTTGGAATCATGCATAATCTCTCCAACTATAAACAAAAGAAAAGTGTACGCACTATGAATAATAATATTCCATATTTTTCTACTCTGAATATTCAAATGCAATTTTAATAAGCAAAAATTTTTTAGTGTTCAATTTTCTAATTATGTGTTGACGTATCAGCGTGGATGACAACTTTTACTCTTAACATCCATCGAAATTGACACGTTTCGTGGCTATTGCCCTATTAAAATAGCTTTATAAACATATGCATATTTTACGACTTTTTTAATAGAGTTTTATAATGGTTTGAAGTTAGATGGAGTGAAATTTCAGAGTACAAGTTTTACATGAGATTTCATGTAACATGAGTCAAATATTAATTATATGGACTCCATATGTCCTTTGTCTTTTTTTCCTAAGATCTTTCTGCTATAACAATGGCTTCGTCAGCGTTTAAAACACGTTTATTAAAATCTTGTAGAAAGTCCATATCCTAGCGTACGAGATGGCTTCTCTTTAACCCCTGTGCGCTTTAAATATTCAAATTTTTGTGTAAACCACGATTTATCGTTCCATTTACTAGTTTAGGATATGTCACTTTGTACGAAGTCACACTTCAAAAGAAGAATATTGGTTGTTAAATTTGCAAATTTTAAAATTTGCATTTGTCCAAAACACTTCACCTTACATAATTTTCGTTTAAACATTCCTAGTTGAAATCGAAGTTTCAGATTTCATAACGTATCACGAGATCTTTCATATCGTCTGAGAATATTGAATAAAAATATTAGCTCAATCCACAAGTGACTCATTAAAATATAGATTAAAAACGTCTTTTACACGACATTTGCATTTTTTACCACTTACTTGCGATTCTTACAAGAAAACTGTATGCGTATGAGGCAATTTGAATGTTGCAACACTAGCTAGTAACAAGGGTAATGCAGTTAACAGTGCAGGCGCAACTAGAGGTGCGCCAACTAAGGTTTTGTAAGTTGTAGTTCCTATTAAACCACATAACCTTATAACGCCTGCTACAAAACCGAAACCA